AAAAGAATAATATAAATTAATTTTTTTTTAATATATATTATGGTTTGAAATTTTCAATTAAGAGAGAAAAATTTGTAAAATATCCCTTAATTGAAAATGAAGGTCAACTGCAAAAATTAGGTGCTTATTTTAGAATTGAGGATTATAAATATCAAATTGAGTACTCCAAAATAATATAATAGAAATTTCTTTATTCTAAAATTGACGTTGAAATATAAAAATAGGGTATCTAATTTGAAATTTATGTCTTCAATTTTTTAATCAAGTGTACAAAAATGAAAAAAAAATTTAAATTTATTTATTCCTAGATTTACAACAAAAAAACAAAAAACAAAAAAACAAAATAAAAAGGCACTATTACAAAACAATGAACTTTATATATTTTAAAACCAAAATAATTGATGAGTAAAACCACCACCACCACCACCAATCTCTACCATCAGAACACAAGATTCTAAGCACCACCAACCACCACCAATTACCCTAATAAGCATCACAATCATTACAGTAAAAGAAAAACATCCTTGAAATAACTACAATTTATGCACAGTAATTAGAATTACTTTGTCTAAAGGCCATATTTTAAATATTATTTTGTCATATTCAATGAAAGGAGGGAAAAAGAAAATGAAATTCTAGTGTTGAATGGAAAGGCACTTGTAATGCCAAGGTACCACTACCAACATCATCACACAAAAGAATTTTTTCTCTCTTCTTTAAAAAAATAATATATAATTTTAGCATATGTATAGATGATGTTGTGAATGACCGAACCATGATGGTTTGACTTCTAGGACTCTGGATCATGTGCCTATCATTGTTGCAAACCCCTCCAGCCATCGGCGCCACCATTATTGTCGCCCATCGCGACCCTTCTCTGTGTGTGCTGTAACGAGTTGAATCAAATTAAATTTTGCCCTTATTATTATTGTTGTGGTGTCATGAACTGATGTATTTAAATTGGTGAAAATAAATTGAATTACTTCTTAATTTTGACTTCGTAAGGCCCGCTTGGCAAAATTATTTTTTTTAGTTTTAGTTATAGTGATTCTTGGGTCTTGAGTAATAAATGAGATATAAATTCAATTTTTGGATTTTATTTGATTAGCCCATACTAAATCATTTTGGTTCATATTGAATTATGTGAATGGTGGGGATCACCTTAAATCTTTTAAAATTTATTTATATTTTAATCTTAGTTGGAGACTTATTTTAAATTATTAAACTTCATTCATTTTGAACCCAATTGATTGAATAATGATTCGTTTGTAACCTTGTATTATTGTTGTTGTTATTATTATTATTTATTTTATAGTCTTGAAAGAGTTACAAATATTTATGGTGTGCACCATCAAACGAAATATATTTTGTAGTGATAAAATATTATATCATTTTTGTCATTAATGATGTTAAAATATACTTTTAATTGATGTATATATATAGATATATATATATAGATAGATATTTGTATTGGAAAAAAAAAAAACAATTTTGAAAGCAATAACACGTGGGACCTCTCTATCTCCCTTATTTCGTTTCTTCTTCTTTTCTTCTTGGCAGGGAACACTTTCCCTATTTTTCTTCTTTCTCTCTCTTTGGTCTCTCTCTTTCGACTCTTGGTTCTCTCTCTTTGAATTTTTTTTTTTTGGTTACATTTATTATATAAAATCTTTGATCTATCAAAATCTATTAGCTTTTAGACCATAGTTCTGAAAATCAAAGTGAAGAGTTTGGTGAGAGCAACGTTTTGACCGGTGGAGATCGAAATCCAACAAAGTCAAAAATTGGGTTTTTGCTTGTTTCCTCTTCTAGCTTGAGGTAGGGATTTTTCCTACACTTCTTTATGCACTTTTACTTGATTATAGGGAGTTTAGAGTTGTATATAATTTAATTAGAATTTTTGTAAAAAAATTGTGATTTATTTGCTTAAACGAGAAATTTTGAGAAAAATAAAAAGTTGATGCCCAAATTGCGAAAGTGTAAACTTGGAATATGTTTGTAAGGTTATGAAAGAGTTATGTTTTAAATTTGAACAAAAACGGACTTTGATTCGATTGGTTTTGAAATTTTTACTAGTTTGTGACCAAAAGAGCATTTTTAAAGAAAATAAAGGAATTACGTTTAATTTTTGGGGCTTTCGATCAAAATAGGATGTCATAACTGAATAATGCTTGGACAATGAGTTTGGAAAGAAAATGATGTTTTCTTGGGCATTAACGGTATTATTTTGTTTAATGTATCTGTTGGAATAAAACCAACACGGTCAGAAATGGACCTTGAGAGGTTACCGGAGGTGATTGTGATATGAAAACTTGTGTAGTTGTTCATATTTGATAAGATCTGGAATAGATTGCATTTATCAGAATTTTTTTTGGAATTTAATTATTTAAATATCTATTTAGAAATATCTATTTTGGGCTATCGGTGGAGGATAGCCATGATTGTTATAGAAATGCATGAGACTTAGATAAATTGAACCACATTCCTCATTTGTTGCATTGGACATTGCATTACATTTATTTCATTGGAAATGTATCTGTTCTTTGAGAAATGTTTGGAAATATATCTATTTGCGAAAAGATGAATACTTGGTGAATCTGGGTAGGGGGTGTAGAACCGCGCGGTGGGGTGTTGAGCCTTCTAGTTTATTGGTAAAAATGACAGTGGTATTACATTAGGGCCTACTTGCAGACACTCACCTAGAGATTCACAGAGCCTGTATTCATGTAACAGATATGGTTTAAAACGGAAATAATTTTATATCTGTTGTTGCATCTCAGCATTGAATGCTTTATAAAAAGAGAGATAAATTGTTTTATCATGAGTATGGCATGAGCATACTCCTCTTTAGTCTTGTCGTGGTCCATATGTTGTGTAGTATATCTCTACTAGGTTGTGGCTCACCTTATAAGGGAAACCATTTCAGGTACAGATACTATGTCTTCGCTAAGGCATTGACTTGGAAGGACTCGGAGTTGAGGCTTCATTTTTGTTTCATTGTTATTTGTTGAATATAAGCCCATGGCTGTATTTGCATTAAGTTGACACTCCATTTTGTGTAACCAAGAATGTTCTTGGATAAATTTGTAAGTCTGTAAGGCACTCATTATCTGTTTGGCTTCCATTTTATACTTGTTGTAAAATGCATGCTTAGGATTGGAACTGGGGCATTGAGATGTGAACAACATGTATTTAGTATTTGGGATTAAATGGAAATGGATGTATGGAATAGTTAGCTAGATATATGTGTTTGTCTATCAGGTGAGTTTATTGTATAAATAGATATACCCTATCTAATTTTCAGGGCATTACATGTGCCCAGAAAATTGTTGGTGGGAAATTTTTATTCAAGTAAAAAATGTATCATCTCTTGATTATTCAAGCAAGAAGTTTTATTCAAGCAAAATTGTTGGGGGAAAATTAAATTTTTTTTTTTGTGTGTGTGTGTGCTGAATTTGCTACTGATGGAAATTCAAATTGTTTGGAGAAACTGAGGAGTTTAAGCAGATAAGAAGGTTTAAAATGGATTTGTGCAGAGAAGAGAAGATGTGTTTTTTAGAGAGAGAAAGTGGGTAAAGAGGAGAGAAAGAAAGCTTACTGAGAGAGTGTTTGGAGGACTGAAAAATGCAAGGAGACGAGGAACGAAGTTTGTGCCGCCATGCTTCTTATCCCCTTTTTTGTCTTCATTGAAGTGAGGTTTGCTCACAGAAGAGCGACTTCAGAAAGGAAAAAAAGAGAGATGAACAAAGGGAGAGCTTGAGCCATTCGAGGCACGCAAAAGTCGAGCTACGTAGCAAAATTGTTATTTCCATCACCAATATAAGCACAACTTTTTGAATTTTTTTTTCTCTGAATTTGACACAAAAAAAAAAAAAAAACAAAGAAGGTGGTGGTACTACTTCTTTGCTTTTGATGGAGGTGTGCTTGTCTCTTGCTCCATTCAACTACCAAAAATAATCGTTGTATTATTATTTCATATTATATACTACTTTAGTTAAACATAGTAAACGTAATCTCACTGTATCACATTTTATATCCTTTAATATTATATGACAAATGTTTAAGACTCTTAAAAAGTTCTCAAAATTTAACTCAGATTAGTGTTATTTTTTTATTTGTTATACATTCAATTATGTAAGGCTAAATTTTATTGTCATATCGTTATGAGTAAATTTAAGAGTTTAAATTATGAGTTTCTAACCGTACTTATGTTACATGTCACCCTCAACGTCTTATATCTAATCTGATCAAAGGGGAACTAAGGGTATAAATTGATGTTATAAAATAAGTTTTTATTGCATGCGGAAGGGAAGAAACTTGTGGTTAGATCAACCAACTCTATCCATAAAGTTATTTAAAAAAATGATCAATTGAATTCTTGATTGCTTGTGATTAGGCCTATCGATTCTATCCATCAAATTATTTAAACTGATGACCAATCAAATTTTAAATTGATTGTGATTAGGTCTGTTAAATCTATCCATCGAGTTATTTAAAAAAATGACCAATCAAATTCTTGATTGCTTGTGGTTAAATCTGTCGACTCTATTTACTTAAAAAAGTGATCAATCGAATTTTTGATTGCTTGTGGTAGGTCCATCAGCTCTATCCATCAAGTTATTTAAAAAGGTGACCAATCAAATTTTAAATTGCACAAGTCAATAACAGGACTTTACGGGGGGAAAAAACGCTCATTTATCTAATTAAAGCTAGGCTGGGATTCTGGACAAAAAGCACAATGGGATCTAAAACATTATCTCGTTGCTGATTTTTAATAGATATTGAAGCCATTAGATCGTTGAAGCCTGATTAATTGAAGTTAATTATGCTCTGCTTTTGAAGGTTCTGATTCCTTGGCATTTTTCCTGAAGCTCTTTAACCCTCTTTTGATGGCATGTTGCTATTGTTCTTTTACGTCTAATATTGATGTACTCGTAGAGTTTTCATCAATAAATTATGTATAAACAAACACATATGTAGAGAAAAAAAATCTACAAATTTACTTGAGAATATTGACAATCACTCATGATGACATCGGAGCAATTGCACAAGTACAGTTTCTATATTTATTACATGGCTCATAGACAAGGCAGACCAGTTGTATATTCAAGACAGAAGGCTATGCTAGGACCACCGACCCAGCCAACAAAAAAACACATTACATGTATAAAATAAATCAGGCAAACGAGACGACATAGTACTTACATAAATTGAGCAATACCACTGCAGCCTACAGGACAAACTGTGGGAGCTATCAGCTTATTCGAGTTTGGACAATAGATAAAACATTGTCATAATAATGAAATAGTTTTCCATAGATAATACATATAAGGACACCCTGTAACCTTGCTTTCTGCATAAATTGGACCGCCATTTATTTCTTCGACTTCTTTATCAAGAAAAGCATATCTAGCAAATCACCTGAAATCAAATTTTGGAATTGATAACACTAAAGACTAGTTATGGTCAAATACCACGCCAATAGATTGACACCACTGTACATCAAGTAGTTCAAGATTTTGCATGCCCTTAACACCTATGAACTTTCCATCTCTCTTAGTTTAGTTTGAAGTTCCCCACGCCGAATCTCCATCAGATTCTCCGTTTGAGAGATGTACAAAATTTCAATGGTAGTCAATTTAACCTACGAGTCCATTCACGAGGTTGCAAACATAATTAAGCACAACAAACTTTATTCCATTAAACATCATCCATTAATTTTATTTGATTTTCAGATTAATATACTTCATATCAGAATTACTAAACGTAAACAAGTTCTTACAAAGCTATTGCAATATATTTTTAGATCCTTGAGCTAAAAGCCCAACCCATTTTACTAGATTCTTGAATTTACCAAATATAAATATACATTAAGTTTCTTTTTGGTATACTGGATGGTGATCAAGATGATAGGGAGTCGAATCAATCACTAAATAATGAGGTACAAGAATTCTCATCATGATTATCAAAATCTTGATTTAGATAGTAGAATTTTACGATTCTCTGATTTCAATTGGACCAAACTATTTGGATCACACTATAATCTTAAAGTAACTACAATCCTAGTTATAAAATCGAGTGGAATTGTACTACAATTATGATTCTACTAAAATCCCAATCTGACTAATTTTTTTTCTTATTATTTATTTCTTATATATATATATATATATTAGTATTACACCCGTGCTATGCTTGACATTAAATAAATAATTAAAATTGCATCTTAAAAATTAAAGTAATAATCGATTAAAAGATGGAGGTTGTAAAAGGCAATGGGAAAAATAATTTGTTCCTTAGGATTTGGATGTGTTGTTAATCGATCTTGGAGGCTGTGAGAAATCTCCATCCAAGCTTTGAGGTATTTTTTCGATTAGGCAAAGGTTTATGATTACAAATCATCTAATATTCAGAATGTTGCTTAAGGATGCTAAAATGGAATATAACTACAACAATGAAGGTCCTCGCTTGCGTCAATGTGATGCTTGCCATAGTCACTGTCACCTCCTCTTTTACTTCCAAGTACCACCTTAGCCTCTTCTTTTCTATCAGTGACTTCCTTCCCTATTACAACCTCTCTTCAACTTTTCTTGTTGTGACTCCACAATCTCTCTAGTAGGACCTATTCTCCCAATTCTACCATTACGAAAAAAAATAAAGAGAAATAAAGTACAAGGCTTAAGGAAGAAAAATGAGAAGGAGGAAGGTGGTGGCGTAAATGGGAGATATGGTGAGGGAGTGGTAAAAAAAACAGTTGTTGGTGGCTAAGAAGAGTTAGGAAGGAGTTGGGGATGGCATGAAGGATGCTGGTTTGCCATTAAGAAAGAAAAAAAACAAAAGGCAGGGAGTTCATCTTGGCCCGGATCCGGATAAAGGAGGCTTGGAGAAAGGTTGTAGAGTGGCACCAACAGTTATGGCAATGGAAAGAGGCAATAATGGTGGTGGGTGATAGAGGTACTGGTGAAGGGGTGAGAGTTACAAAAATTAGAATTTTAAGAGTACAGAAATTAAAATTTTTAATTTTTTAAGTTCTAGATACTTTTTAATAATTTTAAAATGATAAAATTTTAATAAAAAATATTTTTATTGTGTAAATAGAACCTTCGACTTAAAATGGAAATTTATTGGATTGTGCTAGTCTTCGGTGTATTATTAGAGAGTCCTATCCTGGTTGGTAAGCTCACCATTGGTCTTGATGATCCGATAATTTATATAACCTATTCAATTGATTGCATTTAGTTTATTTTAAAAATACATTCATCCTTAATTTTTTTCAAGACAAATTTGATAAAATAAAGAGTTACAATCGTATCCCTCTTCGACTTCCTCAACAACCCTATCTACACTTTTGTGGGTGTGGGTATTCACACCCGATGTCCAGAAGTTAACTGAAGATTATGGGTTGTCTGTGGCCACCACTGTTGATCTTCGTTCGGTGGTGGCTGAGTGCGGCATGATCGAGCTTCGCAATGCGAGGTTAAAGAACTTAGTGAGAGAGGTGCTTGGGAAGGAGATTGAGAAGCCCAAGAGGATTACGATGAGTAGGTGGGACAATGAGTGGCTCTACTCTGAATAGGTTTAGTATGCTTGCATTGATGCTTTTCTTTCTTTTGAGATTGGAAGGTATTTGAATGCAGCTGGGTTTTAGATTTATTAGGAGTAATATGGGTTTGAATTTGAAATTAGGAATTTATTGTTTTTTGGGGTTTGATGGGGATTTGGTATGGTTTTGTTTATATTGGGATCTCTGTTTGATGGATTTGGATGGTGGGTTTTGTTTACTAGTTGGAGAAGTTTATTATGATTTGCAATTTGGATATGTTTGATGATTGATTGATATGTACTATACTTCTATCTTGTTGGGCAAATACATGATTGTTGATGCCTAAGTTGCATTGCCCTAGCATATAAATGGTTTCTTATTTCTGTCTTTAATTAAGGAATATATTGTTTTGCTTAGTTACTACATTATTTGTATAGCAACCCATGCCATACAATATATATTGATGGTAGTGTGGATCCCAAATTTGGAGCGAGTATTTTTACTATTTTTGCACTTGTTGCCCTATTTTTTTTACGTATATAGAGTTGAGAGCAGTGGGGGTTTGTCTCTTGTTAAGTTTTTATTCTTGGCAATCCCGTTTGACAAAACTCCTTTCAGTTGTACTTATTTTCGCACTTTTTATTTTAGTGAGGCTATGAGTTTTTAGATGCGAATCCAACCCGAATTGTGCCTTGCAGAGAAGTTTGTGATGTTAATGCTTTCAAGATTGCCACTTCGCTGATTATGACGAGGATCGAGCGGAGAATGCTGAGTTTCAAAGTTGCATGTCCGCTCGAGCGGACATTCAAAGTTTGTGATGTTAATGCATTCAAAGTTGCATGTCCGCTCAAGCGGACATTCCCTCGCTCGAGCGGAGAATGCTGAGTTTCAGAAGTTTATTTGCTTGCAAAAATACTTGATGTTGTTTTTTCCCGCTCGAGCGGAACTTTTCGAGCTCGAGCGTAGGTCCGCTCGAGTGGCCAATCTGAAGCTCGAGCGGAGATCGCGGGACAGATTTCTATAAATACATGTTTCAGTCCAAATCTAGGGTAACGCCTCCAGATCTTCTTCTTGGGTTCTAGGGTTTATATCTAGGGATATTTTGCTAGTTTTCTTTGATGTTTCATTGAGTATTCAACTCATGGTTTAAGGAGGATACATCAAAGGATTGTTTGTTCATACTATACAAAAGAGAGAGTTGTTCTTCGGTAGATTCTGAAGAATTCGAGCCTGAAGTTTTGGTGGATTCTAGAGTGGCTCATCGTCAAGACAATTCCGAGGTGAAGATGAGGCTGGAAGAGGCACATAGGGGTTGGTTCAATTCGGGCATGGATTTGCTAGGTAATTGAGAGTATACTTGTGTAATTCCTTTATGTCTTTTTAGTGGATTGTTTTGTGGCTTTTGCTTGTGGTTTTTTATCACAATTGGAGGTGTCCAATTGTAGTTTTTCCACGTAAAATCGTTGTGTCGATTTGTCTTGATTGTTTGATTGGTATTGTTATATACCACTTAAAATTGATACATAATCACAAATCAACATCTAGGGGATTTCTAGATTTTTCATCTCTGTATCATATTAGAACTGCAAAGACCGTGGATGCAACTCTAGTTTTGGGGTAAATCTTGTGTTCGTGTGTATGTGTGTGATTTACAATTCTTATACATTTGTTTTTCTTTGTTTTTTGTGTCTCATTGATCCTAGTTAGGTGTTTGTTATGAATTCTTGACATGTGATGTGTATGAAACATTATGGTGGTCATAGTGGATGTTGTCAAAATGATAGTCATAAGAGGCATAATTGAATTGCTGGCTCAAATTTGAGGGAGTGAAGAGAGGGACTAGCAGAGGGAAGGATGTGAAGATAGTTGTGGTGCGTAATCAGTGTTGTAAAAGGTGTGTCTGGGCTCAAGGCACAGTGAGGCGCAGCTCATGTGGTTCGTACATGGCAAGGCAAATGCCCATTCAATGAGCCGCAACAAGGCACACTAGTTGTACGCTTCATTGAAGATTCTGCATTTCTTTTTCATTTTTAATATTAACTTTTGATTTTTTTTTTTTAACACATTAGACTTATATATGCTGCCACAAAGGATTGAAACTCGTCTTGTTTTTCTTCACAAATCTGGGATCTTTTTTTTTTTTCTCCTCCCTTATTTTTGATTATTTCTTTTTTTCTTCTTCTTCTTCAACACCTTCTAGATTCTGTTTTTTTTTTTTTTTTTTTTTTTTTTTTTTTTTTGGCTGGCTGGGCTACTTCTTTTTCACATTGTTGCTTCTATTTTTTTTTTCTCCTTTGCTCTAATTTTTCTTATCTTCTTCTTCTTCTTCTCCTTTGTCTTTATGATTTGTTGCTCCTTCTAGTCTACTTCTCTTTTGAAGTTTTCCTATCCTTGCTGCCGTGTGATTATTTTTCTGAATTTTTTTTTTTAGGGGGGGAGGGAATTTGTGATTTGGTGAATCTTGATTATTTTGCATTTGTAATGATATGTGCTTTTATGGCTTTGGAAATTCTTGTACAATACGCCTTATTTTTTTTCTTTTTTTCTTTGTCTCAGTGTTATTAATTAGAAATTCCTAAGAATGATGGATACGGACACGTGACACGACACGAATACGATACGGACATGCAGACACGTCAATTTTCAAAATATAGATGACACAACACGTGGGGGACACGCTTGAATATATAATTTTATATATTCATTATATATTAAATATATGAATATAACATTCAAAGATAATAAAAAAATGTAATATGACACTAATTCGTATAAATTTATATGATTTTTATTTTATTATTGTATCTTTGTTTTGTTCAAACTGTTAATTAGTTTCACATATGTCTAATCGATAAACATGTGTGTCCTCCAAGTATCCAATGAGTGTTTGGGTCTTTAAAAAAAATTAAAAGTAAGACACGTTTTGAAGAGTGTCGGACATGTGTCGAGGAAGTGTCCAAAGAGTGTTGATATCTGACACGGATACGACACGTATATGTTACCTTCTTAGAAGTGTCCATACTTCTCAGGTGAATTCTTTTATTTTTGCTTACGTTGAAGTTTTAATTGTTAGGCTATATTAATTTTTATCTATTTTTTTACTT